ATCTCGTCGATCTGTTTATGAAGTTCCTCCAGCTTGTCGGATCCCATACGGTATACACAGTCCCTTGGACGAACTGCGCCTTTGACCAACTCAATCGTGTGTTTGATCGATCGTGTGGGGACTCAACGGGGTTCGACCAGAACTTTCGGGAATCGTTGGACCAGGCTTTGAATGCTTGTCGGGACTGGTGGGGGTGGGGGATCAGAAAAAGGATCACCTAGATCAGGTTGCAGATTACTAATGAAGGCAATCAAATTTGAAGTAGACTTGTTTGGAGTAGAAGTAGATGGAGAAGTTGAAATACCAGAAGTAGGTACATTAGGTAAAGTTGGACTTGTACTAGGGAGAAGGCACATGAGTAGCACGAACAAAAACAACATACAATTGTTCTTCCTCCTTGTGCTTGCGCCACTTCTTGCAAAACTGTATTGCATTGGGATAAGTCACTTAGGATTCACTTTTTTTGTCTAGTAATACTGCGCGTTCATTTCCCAAAGCGTCATGTACCACAAAGAGATCAGCCTTCCACTCGGTCCATTTGAATTGGGACTGTAGCCAACCCAACCCAAGGACTGCGGCGAAAGGGCATTTGTCAAGTACATAGAAGTTGAGTGCATGCGTGACAGTCTTATCTTTGTCAAAGTAGTGTGCACATTGCATGCGTAGAGGAAACAACTTCTTTGTTGCCTCCTTGGGTTTGGCAAGTGGCCTGCAACTCCACTTGCTTCATTTCCAAGCCCATCTTGCGTACCTCGCGTGGATACATGAAGTTAGTAGTTGCGCCACAATCAACCAAGACACGAAGGTAGCGGTGGTTAATCACAAGCTTGAAGAAGATCGATTCCACCGTCCACTGAGCACGCTGTTGTTTCATCTCAGCCCAATGCTCAAGGTGGTAGTGGAAGTTAACCTTCTCAGACTCCTCCCTAGGCTCAACATAAAGAACATGACACACGTCAACCTTGGTTCAGCAGATGATGGAGCTTCAAGAGAGGACAACTGATTTTTATCAGGTTCAGTCTCCCTCGTTGTAGAGGGTGGTGATGTCAACTCTACGCCCAGTTCTGGCTTCCTTGCAGCCTATAACAATTTTGTACTTCGTGATCTGGTTTCTGGCAATGCAGACATTGCATGCAAACCTCTTTCTTGAGCCTAACCCTCTAGTCATTTTCAATGATTCGGAGGTCAACCCATGGTTTGGTTGTTGCGTCCTCCGGTTTCTTCGGGATTTTGGCTCCCTTGGGAAGTTGGACAGAGTTCTTTCCTAAATTCATGTCCGGTCCCTTTGCATTGGCAGTCTTTTTAAGGGCAATAAATTTTTCCTCATCGTGGTTAGCATCAGACTCATGGGATGAAAAGGAATAGGCTATATAAGCGTCCTGTTCTTGGTCGTCACCAAGAGTGGGGTCATCTGCATAGGCCTCCTCATCAGCCTCGAACAGGTCATGTGGAAACGAGGTCTGCTACCTCGGGACTGACTACATCCTTCATTAGGGAAAACCAATCGGTGTATCCAATGAAGTTCCTACCTACGCGATTAGTAAAGGTAGTGGGAACCGCGCTTTTCACTTCATCCAAGCAAGATTGTTCGGTCATTTATAATCCGGGAGTGACAAACATCTTGCTAAGGTAGGTCTGAAGGCTTTTCATGGAGCTCGACCACTTGTTGTGTTTGATGTTGTCAAGTTGGCTCCTTTGCCCTTGCAGCAGCATGTGGATCCATGCATTGTTTAATTAAGAGTTCTTCAAGGGTGGCAACCAGCGTGGCTTTAAGCCACCGTGTCAGGTCATCTTTGGGACCTCGGCTCGCGTAGATTGGACTTCTAAGAAGCCCCGTACGATGGGCTCGACATTCATTCCCATGATCACGGACCGGGTCTCTGTTCGATTTCTCGAAACCTCAAAATAAGCTCTAATGGAGATGATCCAGGATTCAATGTCTTCCTTGCCGTCGTACTTAGACGGTATTTGCACCGCCTTTCAATCCACATAGGAATCGTCGTAGCTGGGACCGGCACCTGCTGGTTCTGATCTTGGGGCTGCAACAGTTGTAGAATTTCCCACGTTGTCGTTTGCTGCAGCAACAACGGAATCTGCACCTGCTGCAGGTCCCGAAAGGCTTGCCATTACACTCAAAGAAGAAAAAGGAAGAGGAGGATACGATAAGAGGGCCAAGACTAGTTTCAATAGTAGCTTTAGAACCAGGGGTTAGAGGATGAGGATTGGCCATGGGCCGTAGTGGGCTTGTCGTAGCGCATCAACCTCTATTGTCAAGTCACGGTACTTGCCAGTCATATCGGTCAGATCCTCCTGAAGTTTTCGTAATTTTGCGAAGACTTTGGAGAACTGAGCGGTAAGATCCTCAAGGTTTCAGACTTACACGATAGCGGTCAGGATAGGCTGCAGTTGCTCCCCACACTGTTCTTTGCTCAGTGAGGGAACAGTTTCCAAGATGGACAACTAACTTTTGAGCAAAAACTCCTTCCTCTCTTCCTCCGTCTGTTGTTCCCTTTTGAGGCACAAGCTGCATTCAATAAGTCTTGCCACTACGTTGAGGTTAGCTGTGGCTGGGCCATTTTTGGACCGTTGTCGTCGACAGATGGATTGGAGAGAGGCCAATCAGCAAATGAATCAATCAGACTCTCAAGGAGTTCACTGCCCCTTGAGAGCAAATCTTTTTTTTTTTTTTTTTTTTTTTGCATGCCCGGGTATCCCGGGCGTCAGACCCCCCCGGGCGTCACGCCCGGGTGCCCGGCCGGGCAGGACCGACCGGGCGTGAGAATCTTCCTAACTAAAACATGGATTTTCTATAAACCAATGGAATGTGAAAAATCTTTATTGCTTGCTATTACTCTCCTTTTTATCAGTTTTTTCCATACTTGCAGCGCATCGAGGTGCGCGGCATCCCGCACGTGCGCCGCACCGCGCACCGCGCACGGGGTGCAGCGCACCCCGAAAATAAGGGGTCGGTCAAAAAAAAAAAAAGTTGGGGAGGGGTGTTGTAGGCTCAAGTGGGATGTCGCGTCAAGTAACAAAAAAAAAATAAAAATAATAAATTTGAGGCCGCACGGGGCCCCGGAACTGAATTTTTTTTTTTAAGGAAGAACATCAGAATTTCTTTGCATGAGTGAAGCCCGGCACGTCCAACCTGTCAGAACCTCAACGGTACTTGGAGTCTGTATGGTAGGGTTCTTGCAGGCCAGATTCAGTCATGATGAGGGTCGCGATCTCTCAAAACGTTCTCTTCGTATTACTTCTGAAGTAGAAAACGACGGAACTGGCAGCCGTTTTTCCTGGATTTTTTATTTTTTTATGAAAGGAAAAAAACGTAGAGGAAGAACAGCTCTTTGCATGAGTGAAGCCCGGCGCGCCCAACCTGTCAGAACCTCAACGGTAATGTTCACCAATGGGCTCGCTGCACAACTCTCGACGTGCACAACAAGACATAGGGCCTCGCTGCACTACTCTCGACATGCACAAAAGACAAAAATATTGGCGGTGTATCTTTCCATATTCTAACGCAAGATTCACTCTCGTTTTGCAGATT